GAGGTTGCGTTCCGCTCGGTGTGGGATGGTGATGCTCCCTGGCCGCCTTGCCGCCCATCTACTTGTACTTGTACGATGCCTGTCTTAGACCTGTGTCATATCGCAGCGTACACCTGCCGTTGTCTCTCGCTTGGCCCGAGGCGATGGTGGGGGAGGATTGTTTCAGAGACGAGGCGGGACAGAGAGCGGTGACACGGATCCCAGAACCTGGACGTACGGAGAGGCTCAGTCAGGGCTTGCGTGTGTGGATGTCGGATGGAGTCGTCGGACGAAAGACGTTGGACGAATGAATTCGGGGCTGGTCGACTGGCGGGCATGATTTATGCGAGTGGTGTGGTGTGTGTTGTGGTCATGGTGGAGCAGGGAAACGACAACGAAGGAAGCGGGTTTGGTTGACAGGGCCCACCCCTCCCTCCTCCCCCCCGGATAGAGTGGCCATGGGTTACAAAAGTATACAGGTACAGGGACAGGACAGGGCAGGTTCAAGGAAGCCGCCGGAGGGGTAAACATCGAGCATGGGCCGACACTATAAAAAGCGGTCCACTTGTACCATGTACGCACTGTCTTTTCTTGTCACGATGCTAGCGGCAGTTACAGCGAGGACCCCCTGGGAGCCACCCCTGTGCCTGCCGGCCTCATGCCGCCGTGGCAGGTCTCCTGCAGCGGGGCAGGACTGAAGGGGAAACGAGGGGCAGTTGACGGAGATGGATGGTAGACGAGGAAAACCCGATGGCAGGAAGGAGGATCACTGTGGTCCGTGGCTCCGTGACACGTTCCTTCTTTCTGATATGCACATCTGAGGAAAGGTAAGGCAGGTAGGCCGAACAGAGCTGAAGCTGGTTGGCATTTTTACCCCGCTGGCCCGCTGGGTGGCAGCACGAAGAGCAGTAGCAGTAGTCAATCCATCAGTCACCTTTAATGTTGGCAAGTGCTCAGAGATTGGTATCGACAGGTAGAAAGGAGAGTCTCTGATGGCTTGGGAGCCTGATGTCAGGCACAACTGACCACCTTTTAGGTGGCTAGGTACCTGCCTGGGTACCTGTCTAGGTAAGCAAGGTAAGGTAGGTAAGGAAAAGGCACCTTCCCTTACCCGTCCGTCAGTACAGTGTCCACTGCTGCGACGCTAGGGACGAGGGAAGGCCGTA